ATATAGTTCTCCTTGTTGCTAGGACTACGTGTACCTCACTCTATGACTCTCTCTCGCCATTAATGCTTAGTGCTATTATATTGTTTAACTTAAACCTTCTGACTAGTGTTATTCCTCCCCTATCATTGCAGGAGATCACTGATGATATTTCCAGAGAAGAGGTATGTATAATTAACCCTCGGTGCGCATGCGCAGCGAGGGTTTTGGTTTGTCTGTCTGTGTTGTGTGATGGTGAAGAAACATAAGGAAGGGAAATAAGGAGAAAGAAGCTAACAGAGTGACAGGGTTGGGAGGGCTTTTGTCCACATTACCTGGGTGGCAACCCAGTGTCCATGCAATCCTAGCCTTGAGGTGCCGCCACACAGCAACCACGCATGCGTTCATGAGTTGTAACATACATTATGCAACAGTTTTTTGGCCGGTCATCAGGGAAGTACCTATTTCCGTCATTGTATGACAACGGGTTTCGGTCCCTTTAACTTTCCGACCCGAGGTCAACTCTGGAATAGGCGGGACCACTCCCCAGCAAGGAGTCCGGCATAAAATGTATACTTATACTAGTGTCTATGTATATCTGTATACTTACACTAGTGTTGTTTTATACTGTATATCTGTATACTTACACTAGTGTCTATGTTTTATACTGTATATCTCGCTCACCTTTTCCTCTCTTGACTTTCTCTCTGTCTTGTAACTAAGCAACTTACTAGTGCTGGTTAAATAGTCTAGCTAGTTATGAATATTAATAAGTAGTGGTTTTGGCACAGGATGTGCATACTATTGTGACAGCTGATTGTTGAAATATGCATATATAAATGTGTGTGTGTGTGTGTGTGATGATATTTCCAGAGAAGAGGTATGTATAATTAACCCTCGGCGCGCGAGGGTTTTGGTTGGTCTGTCTGTGTGTGTGTGTGTCGACGCTTTTTCTGGCACTACAGGCTACGAGGCGGCCAATTAGCGAAACCAGCGGTTTCAGAACTACGCGAGCCTGAAAAATAAAAGGGCGATTTTGCTGAAACGACTGCGTTCGAGATATATGCCGTGAAAACAAGCGAAAAAACCAATATGCAAAATCGCACTGGCGACTTGATCCGCTCGCTCTGTGTACCTTGGAGGCCCAGGAAGTCACAACGAACGGCATGTATCAACTCCTGCATGCAATCTACTACTGTAACTAGCCCGTGTCAGACTCTCCGCGTGCTACTAGCGGGAGACCACGCATATATACTACTAATAGCCCAGTTTACGCGGTTCACCAACAGGGCATCATCTAAGTCTATTTGACTAACCTGAACCCTCGAAAATTTGTCATAACTACATCCAATTGTACCATAACTCCATTGGAATCCTAGCACACTCCTGTTCTGATGATATGCTTCACTGCATTCTAAACATTTCAGACAAAAGCTAGCAGTACTAGTCTCATAACAAAAGTAGTAAGTACAGTACATGGTACCTGTATAAACAGTTTACACAACCACTTCCATGGCTCAGGTGGATGTGAATAGACTCTACGCTCTTGCCACTCTGTTTTACTGGCAGGCATTGACTTGTGCAAATTTCATGACAGTGCCTTACTCCTGAGCTGGGCTGAGAGTTCAAGCATACTGCTAGTCTAGTCTGGGGTTTTAGTTTACTACAACTTGCAGCAGTTCTTGCCTCTCTAAAACCTACACATGTAAAATTCTGATACGACATTGGAAACTAGCAAGTTAGACAAAAATGCCGTTCATTGTTAACTTCTCTCCAAATTATTGTTTTTCATATCCGTCTACATCATAATGATCATAGTAGCGTGTGTATTCAGAGCTGTTCAAAATTCAGTCAGATATAGGAAAGGCTAACAGAATTGAAAGGAAAGACAAACAAAACTTTATATAAGTTTTCTAGAGATTGTGCAGTTTTGTGAGTCTTTGCTGTTTTACAACCCATTTTTGCTGTACTTTTTGGTGCTTTGAGCCCTCCCTACAAAATTGTAGGATGTAGGATGGGTTAAATGATTATCGGCCTTGTCCAGTTAATGTCTCTCTTTATCCCTTGTTAATCCTCGGTGCGCTAGCAAAAACATGTCCAAAGAGCTAACCCATGACTTGAAAGTTTGCTTATAAAACGTGCCCCAAACAAAATAAGAAGTCCTATTATTATATATAGGCCAAGCGCAGGACATATTGTCAAATCAGGGTCACTTTGTGGAATTTGCAGGAAAATTCCTTGCACGTGTAGGAAATATTCGAAAAATTGTAGGAAACTTTGCTGCACCACCCTCTGATTTTCCTACATATGCAGGAAGATTTCGCAAGGGCCACTTAAAAAGTTTAGTTAAAATCCGGAATATTTCTGGCACTTTCGAAAGTGAAGGCCTTTTTTCACCAAAGTGATGCCGAAATATACACCCTCACTTTGTAGAATATTTTTAAATTTTGTTTGGAGACTGTTTATAGCTCTTATGCAAGAATAAGAATGTATAATCCTTGCCTAAAAGTTTTCACGTACAGACTTTGTGCATGTTTCAAAGCATGCATGTGCAGTAGGAGTACTCAATGGCCCAGCTTTTAGAATCAAGAGGGCTTTAGACAGCCTTCTGCTCCTCTGTTCCCAGTATATACCTCCAATGTAGGGCAGAGTGCTTCTCAAGTTGTGACAAAAAAGAGTGCTATTCAGACTCAATAGGATTTTTGCCTTACTCTATTGTTGATATTTGCCGAACATGCAACTAGGAACCAAGTGCTTGAAATATGGTGCTTTTGCCTGGTGCAACATCAGGCAAAATATATCTGGATGATAGGGGTTGAGTTAAAAGGAATGTGGCAGTATATAAAGGCTAATTTTAAAAATTTTTACTGAAAACTGAAACATACAGTAGGAGTCAAAGAAAAGTTTCCAATAACGTTCCGTTTCTTTCTGTTTATCGTTCCGTTTAGTTTCCGTTCAGTCTCCGTTTAGTTTTACCGTTCCGTTCCCTTCCATTCCGCTCCGTTACTATAATATATAATAATTATACGCAATAGAGGAGCAGAACACAACAATGCCATACTCCAAGTACGTTAAATGTCACGCGCTCTACTTTCATGGACGTGGCCTGACATCCTCCGCCATCGTCGACGCTTTGGCCGCTGAGGGGGAGGCTGCCACCAGGGAATTGCCAAAATGATAAAGCGAGTTCAGCGCACTGGCAGCCTCAAGAGATCCCCCGGAAATGGACGGCTACCTAAGCTAACTCCAGCTATCAGGGCTGCAGTGGATGCGCAGATGAGAATTGACGACTAAACCACAGCCACGCAACTGGAGGCAATTCTACGGCGGCAGGGAATACCGGTATCCAAGTCCACGATCCTCCGCAGCCGATCGGCCCTCGGGTGAACGTTCCGCGGTTCGGCGTACTGCCAGATGATTCGCCACGTAAACAAGGCTAAGCGTCTAGAATGGGCGACGCAGCATTTACACGAAGCTGCAAATGGCTTCTTGAACGTCATCTACACGGACGAGACCAGTATTCAGCTCGAGACCCACCGACGGTTTTGCTACCGCCGGCGCGGCGAGCCCCCGCGCCCCAAGCCCAAGTAAGCCATTGCCACAATACACATTATACAGCATTACCTAGCTAGAAATTTTTTGCTGTTAATTATCGCTCTTGTATTGCACAATACACATTATACAGCATTACCTAGAAAGAAATTTTTGCGGTTAATCAATTGCCTGGCCAGAACTAATCAGCCCTCTCATTTGTACAGGCCAAAGCACCCAGTGAAGGTCCATGTCTGGGCAGGCATTAGCATGCGTGGAAGAACTGGGATCTGCATCTTTGATGGAATCATGAATGCCGAGGCCTATGTTACCATCCTGAGCGAGACTCTCCTGCCATTCCTGCATGAAGTCTATCCTGATGGACACCGCTTCATGCAGGATAATGATCCCAAACACACCTCTTGACGTGCAGCCCAGTTTTTTGAATCGGAGGGAGTGAACTGGTGGAAAACCCCACCCGAAAGCCCAGATCTAAATCCCATTGAAAACTTATGGCACGAGCTGAAAGAATTTCTACGCTGTGAAATAAAGCCAACGACAAAGGATGAACTTGTGAGGGGTATAACAACATTTTGGGAAAGTGTGAGCATTCAAAAGTGTGGCAGATACATCAGACACCTTCGCAAAGTGATCCCAAAAGTCATAGAAGACGAAGGTGGTCCTACTGGGTATTGAAATTCCCATGGGTCTGACGCTAAGCAGTACTGTTAATATTCACATATGTTTACCTGGCTCTTTCTTTCTTTCTTCTTACCTCTTTACTTACCATGGCTCAGGGTTTTGCTTTAGAGCTTGTAAAATCTGTACAAACGTAGAATATACGTGTAAGTGTGCAGCTATAATACAAGGATTGTGATTGGCCATAGTTCCATCTTTAACTCTCTCTATGTTTAGAAAATTTAGTGGTTGTTACCCTATTGCAGCTAAATGTTTCGCTTTATGATTACTAAAGGACGTGCCTTCACATTGAAGGACTAAATTTAGTAACATCAGGAAGAATGAAGTTAGGTTCGGAGAAAGATAAAAAAAAAAGGTCAGGTGACCACAGAGAGCAAGTCTGAGCTAAACTGCAGAGTCCTACGAAGACAGTAAGTCTAGTTCCAGTCACCCCAGCGCATGCGTAGAGACATCATGTGTGATTTCAGAGTACGTGTCATAGTATTATATGCATAACATAACCGCTAAGTGCAGGGTGATGTGCAACATGTGACATGATGAGTGGCGGTATGCCCTGGAGAGAGTTATGTCCAACTGGGCTTTCTCCTAAGCCTTCCGCAGCACTGGTCGATAGCCCTCATGCAGCGCCCCCACACTGGCTCGAAGTCTTGTGGCTTTGACCAGTGCTGTGGATAATGACCAAAGACAATCTTTTTGATCTTGTAGAGGCCCGTTTGAGGAAGAGCCAGCAGTGATTTCGACCCCATGGGGGTGCACTGCCTCATGATTTCTGGCCCAAACACACTCTCCTTCGCCAGCAACTGCGCAAGGGTGCCAGGCATGTCGTTGTCTATGTAATGTTTGTAAAGGTCATTTGCTTCGTCAATTGTGTAATATGTAGAGTCTGGTGGTCGTGTCATAACTAGTGGTCTGTTCCTAAGTTTTGAATTTAAAGGCAAGGGACTGTTTGCATCACATGTCCGGTGTGGTACCGTCTGTTGAGGTAAAGTCGTCTGTTGTGGTAGCATCTGTTGGGGTGTCATAGTCTGTTGAGGTACAGTGGTCTGTTGTGGTAGTGTCTGTTGCTGTTGAGGTAGCATAGTCTGTTGGGGTAGATTTGTCTGTTGTGGTAACGTCTGTTGAGGTAGCGTAGTGTGTGTTGGGGTAGAGTTGTCTGTTGAGATAGCGTAGTGTGTTGTGGGTAGATGCTGTTGGTCGTGTGTGTGGGTAGTGTGTTGAGGTGTCTGTTGAGGTATCTGTGAGTGTTGTGCTGGTAGCTGTTGTGGTTCAGTTACTTGGTCAACGAAGCTGTCAAAGTTGTAATTGTACATGTCTGTCAAGTAAAACAGCCTGTTAGACACCTGTTGCAGTTCACTGACGAGCCGGGCCTGGGTGTTCTGCATAGATATAATGGTGTTTTCCAGAGAAGACACCCTCCTTGACAGCTTTTCTGTGTTGAAAGAGGCACTGTAAAATGGTTTAAATATTTGAAATGCATACCGTTTTCAACTATTTCCTCCAAAAGAGCCAGGGGCTTGAGGGCTGTAAAGCATCCCCAATCAACTGAGTGAGATCTGCATCGGTCAGTCAGTGACATAAACAATATGATTACTATCTATACAAACCCTTGGTAGCTGAGGGGTTTCCAACACAGGTAGTAGCTTGGGGAGTAGCGGGGAGACTAACTGTAGGAGTAGCTGGAGGAGTAGTTGAGGGGTTTTGGTCGGAGGAAGCCGGGAGGTGAGGCGAACGTGAGGGAGATGGAGGTGAGGCTACTGGAGGAGAAGCCGGGAGGGGAGGTTGGGGGTTTTGGCCGGAGGAATGAGGCGAACGTGAGGGAGATGGAGGTGAGGCTACTGGAGGAGAAGCCGGGAGGGGAGGTTGGGGGTTTTGGTCGGAGGAAGCCGGGAGGTGAGGCGAACGTGAGGGAGATGGAGGTGAGGCTACTGGAGGAGAAGCCGGGAGGGGAGGTTGGGGGTTTTGGTCGGAGGAAGCCGGGAGGTGAGGCGAACGTGAGGGAGATGGAGGTGAGGCTACCGGAGGAGAAGCCGGGAGGGGAGGTTGGGAGGTTTTGGTCGGAGGAAGCCGGGAGGGGAGGTTGGGGTTTTCAGCTGGCATTTCCCCTTCATTTGCTGCAGCATCTGCATGGATATGAACGTAGCATGCACTGTTGCACAAGAAAGAAGAGAAAGTTACCAGACATGGCGCCATGCTCAGTGACAATTACCATTCTAAACATTCCTCCTGCAGTTGATTGTAAATCGAAGGAAAAAGACTGTCATTAAGCCCAAACAATGTTTTTAACTAACCCTGACTCTTTCTCTTCTTCGTCACTGAATCATGTTCACCCCTCCCTCTCTTCTTTCCCTGTCTGTTCTTGGCAGCAACTGAGATAGAAGTTATAAGTTCCCCACTATCTCAGGTCATATCATTATACTCTCACATTTCTGTTGCTTCTCAATCAGTGCAGAGTTCTCAACCTCCTCACTCTCTTGCTCTCCCCGCTCCAGCTCCAGCTTCCTCATCTCCTCCTTAGTGCCTTAATAGACAGAACTCTATGTCATGCATGTCCGTCTAGACAGTTTGTCTGTTACATGCATCTAGAGTACAAGATTTTGTTTTTGGCTCCAGCTGCGTCCTCGATACCTCAATTCAAACTTTAACAATCATTTTCTAAAATAATAATTACAATTTACTTACCAACAGCAGAAATGACTCCCTTGAAAACTCCTTGGCCTGTTGTCACATTCTCCACGGTGCCAACGCTGTAAACTCCATGGTTGATGCTGAAGCATGGGACCACGGAGTAGCTTTCCTACCCAACCAGTCCACCAGAGCGTATTTGTAGCCTGCGGATTTAGTGTAAACAGCGCGGTTTTCGCTAACAGATTTCCTGTTGCATTCCACCGCGAACGCGCGGGCGTGCGCGGCCTGGCCGAGCCGCTTTCGGCCCACACATGGGACGCCACGCAGGGCGCTTCCTGTGGCTGCGGGCACCGCGACAGTGCTTACCCTGGTCGCGACGGTGCTGCTTTATCGCTGCACGAAGAGACATCCTCAGTTGCATCGGCGCAACTGGCAAAATAAAATCCGCACTTGTATGTAGACTGCCGCGCGTGAAGTGAAAAACGAAAAGAAACGGAACGGAACGGAACGGAACGCCAACGACAAATCAACGGGTTTTCAGTAGGAAACGGGACGGAAACGAAAAGGAACGGACTCATATTGGAAACTTTTTACTCCTACTGTAATAATTGCATTCTTGCACTTGGCCCCATTGTTTAGTTCTATCTTTTGGTAACATTTCTAAATTTAGCCCGTATGTACTGACACATTCCCTATATTTACATTCTGTAGATGAAGAGTCGAGAGCATTCCTGAGGGAAGCAATGAAGCAGGGCTATGTGAACGTGACACTAGTGAAAGTGATTGTGGAGGGACCTGCAGCTGTCGGCAAAACCTGCCTCATGTACCTCCTCCTCAGTAAGTCTCCTCCAAAAGAAAGACACAGCACCGGCTGTACCGAGCGAGCAATTCGAGTGATACGAGTCGGCAAGGAAGGAGGAGAGTGGAACGAGATCTCCGAAAAAGAGTTTCAAGAGATGATCGCAGAAGCAGTTCCCATTCTGTATGAAGACCTCAGAGCCAAGGGAAAGGGAATGGAGGAGTTGGAGAATATTCTATCGGACTTGGTAGTTCAGGAGGGAGAGGGAGAGGGAGAGGAGGAGGGAGAGGGAGATGGGGAGATGGAGGAAGGGGAGGTGAGTGGGGGAAATGAGGTGAAGGTTGAGGACGGGAAGGGTAACGGCGAGAAGGAGAATGAGGAGAAGAAACCAAGTGTTGGGAGTGGAGCTTCGACTGGTGAAAAGGAGGGCAAGGCAGTCATTGATGGAGTGATCAGGAAGCTGACTCGGCTGGTGGGTAGTGGGAAATCATCACGTCGTCTCCTGGACATGGAGTTGATCTACCTAACTGACACTGGTGGCCAGCAACCATTCTGGGACCTCATCCCGATATTCAAACGTGACACCACAGCCACCCTCTTTGTCCACCGGCTCTGCGAGAAGCTTGACGAACACCCTCTTAATGACCTCTACCAGAGAGGGAAACAGGTTGGTCCTAGCCAGAGAGCCACACTCACCACTGCACAGGCCTTCAAGACAATGCTTCGAGGCCAGCATGAAGGAGAAAAACGCTCCAAGATCATTGCTGTTGGCACCCACCGAGACCTGATCAAGGAGTGTGAAGAAACAATTCACCAAAAGAACGAGAAATTTGCTGCAATTTCATCACCTCACTTCGAAGAAGATATAGTTTATCGAAATGAAGACATGAAGCAGATTGTTTTTCCGCTCAATACCAAAACCCCAGAAGAAGACGACAAGAAAGAGGCCAGCAAGATCAGAGCCAGCATCGAGAAAGGTGCCACACAACACAAGATTCCAATCTGGTGGTTCATCCTCCAGCTGATCCTGGAAGCGCTAACGCACAAGCTAGGCAGAGATGTTCTGAGCAAAGATGAGTGCCTCCATGTCTCCATGTCACTGGGGTTCTCTGAAGGACAGCTTGATGCTGCTCTGGCCTTCTTTGACAAGCTCAACATTTTCCTGTTCAAAAAGAACATTCTACCCGGAGTCGTCTTCACCAATCCTCAAGTTCCTCTAGACAAGCTGTCAAAGCTTGTGGAGAAGCAGTACCATCTGAAAGCTGCAGAAGCTGATCCGACAAAAGCTGCAGGGAAAACAATTGGAGGTGAATGGAAGAAATTCCGGGACTGTGGAATTCTCAATCTAAAGTTTGTGGAGGAATTTAAGTCCCACTATGTCAAAGGAATCTTTACTCCAAGTGACTTTCTTCTGTTGCTTGAAAAACTCCTTGTCATTTGTCTCTTGTCAGCAACCGAGTACTTCTTCCCTGCAGTCCTGAGCATGACCTCAGAATCTCGAATCAATCAATTCCTGGCCAGCTGCACAGCCACAGAGATAGCAGCTCTGGTGGTGGAGTTCCCCACTGGCTGGGCTCCTCCCGGGGTCTACTGCTGCAGTGTGTGCCACCTTCAGTCCCATGCCCACTGGGAGGTCATCCACAAGCCACCCACCACTCCTCACAACAAAGACGCACCCGACAGGCAACTCTGCCAGATCTCTCGCAACTCCATCACATTCTCAAAGCGTGACAGACCGGGCACCGTGACGTTCATCGACAACTTTTCCTTCTTCGTTGCCTGTGTGAATGTGGACACCAGGAAGCTCTCCCCGCTCCAGCTCCAGCTTCCTCATCTCCTCCTTAGTGCCTTAATAGACAGAACTCTATGTCATGCATGTCCGTCTAGACAGTTTGTCTGTTACATGCATCTAGAGTACAAGATTTTGTTTTTTGGCTCCAGCTGCGTCCTTGATACCTCAATTTCAAACTTTAAAACAATCATTTTCCTAAAATAATAATTACAATTTAACTTACCAACAGACAGAACTGACTTCCCCTTGCAAACCCTTGGCCTGTTGGCACATTCTCCACGGTGCCCAACGCTGTAAACTTCCATGGTTGATGCGGAGCATGGGGCCCACGGAGTAGCTTTTCCTTCCTCCCAACCCATTCCCCAGACGTATTTTGTACCTATGCCTTGCGGATTTAGTGTCAACAGCGCTGGTTTCGCTAAACAGATTTCCGGCGGGGGGCTGTGCATTCCCCACCGCGAACGCGTGCGCGGCCTGGCCAGCCCTTTCCGGCCCGCACCACATGGGACGGCCACGAAGTGTAAAACAAGCGCGGTTTCCGCTAAACAATATTCCTGTTGCATTCCACCGCGAACCGCGCGGGGCGTGCGCGGCCTGGCCGACCCGCTTTCCGGCCCACACAATTTGACTCCAACGCAGGGCGCTTCCTGAGACAATCCTCATTGCATCGGCTCTGGTGGTGGAGTTC